ATTATTTATTTCACTTGGGATGAAATTTTGAGCGAATGGTTGTTGTATTTGGAAAGTAAAAAAAATAGAGAGATTTGTCATCTTCTTTACTTGCAAGTGTTTGATCTATTTTTTCTTGACAAAGTTGTTTTTTATATATTACTTTCATACATGTCGAATTATGGAAATTCATAAATTCTTAACTAGAAAAATGTTGGAAATTCAAATAATGCTTCTAAAAGGTGATTCTACACAAAAGAGTTATATACAAATGCATTTTACACAAACACAAAATCCAAAATCGTCGAGCTTATGCATCGATCATATTTTACTCTTGATGAATCCTCATTGTGACCATATATCCTTAAAAGACAACATATTTATGTTTGGATTGAGTTTTAGAACATCTAGAATCAATTTTAGAGTTTTAAATTGATTTTAGATAATTTTGAGATGTTTGATTTATTAAAAATAAAATTGATTTTGCCTTCAAAATTGATTATATCTGACGCTATAATTTATAACTTCTATCTTTAAAATTGATTTCGAGTAATTTTTACACTGAAATCTTTTATTCAATTGCATAAATATATTCAAACATAAATCAATTATGCTAAATTCAATTATGTTGGAATCAATTCTACTGAACTCAATTATGCTACAATCAATTCTATTTACCATCAATTCAAACACACCATAAATAGAAATTCTTGACAGTATCTCTCTCAATTAATAATATATTTGAAACAAGTACATATAGGTAGACTCTTTACCCATCATAATCCACCTGATTTTGAGGTAACAAAAACATATTCCTCATACAAATCATAATTAGTAATTAATATATAGGTTGACTCTTTATTCTAATTTGTTTAATAATTTGTTAGTTTATTTAAACATAAATCATAATCCATATTTAAGTATATTTATATGAAATAGACTTTCATATATACTAACAAGATAACTAAGACTTTCAAAAAACCCAAACCTAAACTAAACCTAACTAAACTTAAACCTAAGATAAAAATCATAGGTCAAACTTTGACTTCGAAATTTATGATCAAGTCATAGTTGAGTCTGTAAATCCTAATTCAATCCAGCATCTTGACCCCTAACTAAAAGCCACATTTCCTCCTTACTATAAATCTTTTCTTATATAGTGAATAAAATCTACATTGCCGATTGCATTATAAGGATACAACCATTCAAAAACAAAAGAGCTTGCGACTAAGGAAGAAATTTTGATATCAATTTGTAATCAATATTTTAAGGTTCGGTCAACTTCTAAAATTAGAAGTCATAAATATAGTCCATATCAACATTAAAAAATATTGGATTTACTTAATCTAGAATCATATACACTAGGCTATTAAATGAGATCTAAATGTCTACTATACTTATGGCAAAGCAGTAGCAAATTCATAATCTCGAGAGAAAATAGTGTCTCCCACCAAAAGAACTGTTGCTATTGTTCTTGTTTATCAAACTATTAACAAAATAATTACAAAATAGTGTTAATTATTATGCAAGTAATCAGCTAGAATCCAAAATCTAATTTTTGGTCTTTCTATATTTTATTTTGATAACTTTTTAATCTTCATTCAAAAAAACCAATTTTATAATCCCCTATATTTATTTCGATAACTTTTTATTCTTCATTTAAAAAAAACAATTTTATAGTCCTCCAGTATTAGATTTCATATTGTTTGGGGTTTCTCCATGACAGACTCATTTGCACATGTGAGTATTGAAATCTATGAGGTGTCATTTTATTACTATTGCCACATCATTAAAAAAACTAAAAAATCATTATTTTATTTTCTTTAATAATTTTTTTAATAATTGAATGTTTTCTAATAGTTTTAATTATTAATCATTTTCTTATAAATATTTATTTTATTTAGAAACTAAATACTACAAATTTTATTTAAAAGGGAAATTGTCGTGCCTAAAGCCCATATTCTTTCTAGAAACAGCCCTATACTAATATAGATTTCAATCCCACATGCCCAAATGAGATTGTTTTGTCATGGAGGACCATAAAAAAAACCACGAAATCTGATACTAAGGAACTATAAAGCTGGTTTTTTTTAAATGGAGACTAAAAAATTATCAAATAGACATAAGGAGACCAAAACTCCATTTAAGCCTAAAAACAAACATATCATCCAAGTATCTGAAATGTTAAATGAAGTCTTATTAAACTCTATTAAACTCCTTTGATACATATTATTGAAGCAAATATAACATAATGTCATAAAATCCATAATACCACATAACAATTGTTCAAAAGACTATATCACAATAAATACGACAATCACTCACAAATACCCAGCTCGATGTTCGATGTGAGCCAGATACAAACAACTGAACACTTTCAAGTTTCCAGCTGCTTAGAAACCATGAATTTTAATATGCTCCTTCTTCACGATTCCAGCCTGTACAATCCACAAATGCAGAAAAAAATGAGTTGATTATGTTAAAGACAACATCTAGAAAAAAATTTCCTGATATATCCAGATTTATCAAAAAGAACATAACAGATTGTTGTGGTCATCTACAGCAATGAATTTTAAGTACTCAATACAATTAGTCTGAATTAACTGATAAACTTAAAAAGATGTCAAAGGACATCTTATATGATTTATTAGCTAGTGAGACAAAATCATTTTCAAAACACCTCTATTCTGACCAACCAGTTTATCAGCTAGTCCAATAAGCTAGATGCCTAGCCTACAGACCTTTAAAAACAGACAAGAACAGTTATGCCAAATGCAAAATTAAAAAACTTAATCACAGCGACCAGTCATAAATTACACCATTGAAAATGCTACAAATTAAATAGCAAAATAAAAAGGGAGGGGATATTAACCAGAGGAACACATGGACCACATGATAGAAAATTATTTAAAAGACACTGTACAAAATCAAGAATGGGAGGTAATTAGTTACCTGGACTAGGAAGGTAGAAACATTCTTCCTCTGGTCGCCTTGAAGTTGAATAACCTACACCATAAAAATGTTATTTGAAGCAACAAGATGTTAGATAGATCATTATCTAACAAGAGGATGTCAACACATACCTGTCCTTGTTCTGGGTCCTGGACAACTGTACCATTACAGCAAAACTCCTTCTTAAGGTCTTTAAGAATCTTGTTGTAACTGAATTCTTTCTTCAATCCCTGGACAGTTGTCAAGCTTTTTCTACCATTTCGCTGCTGTATACGAATATGCACGTACTCCTTTGATGATCCAGCACCGGCGTCCTCAGCATTTGCCTCAGCAAAAGGATCTAAAAATTGTTGGCACAGATAGCATGGGAATCAGATACCATTAGTAATAAGATAATAAATAGTTAAACCTGGTTCTCACAACCAGGTCAACCATCTATTTCTCTGTTGCATTCTACATAATGAATGTTGTCTGAGGCTGTAATTATAAACTTAACATTATGACCACAACCTTTACAGGTGTTAAACAACCTTAAGTACCCCAAAAAACTATTTCAGAGAAAAATTAGGTAACATATTAACAAAAAAGTTGAATGTACAAAACACATACATTTAACCATAAAAGAGCAAATCTATATTAATCAATTGTCAGACATATATATATAATGAAACCTAGATAAAATCAAACTGATGAAAAACTTCAAAACAAAAGATATGCTAATGTTAGCAGTCTGGAACAGCATTTTCACGGAATCCAACCATACACCGCATAATTGGACAACTTATGACTACCTTTTCCTGGAGGATACACATCAACAGAACAATTAATCTAACATAAAACAATGATCAAGAGGTCAAAATGTTGCAACTCAACTTACCAAAGGTAGTAGGAATTTGTGCGTCTAATTCAGACATGAACCTTAACTCTCCGAAACAGAATGTCCCACCAACCAGATAGCTCAGACCTGCATTAAGAACGAAACATTAGCTGAATAATATAATAACAACAAGCTCCCCAATAATAAAACATCAAAACTATTATCAATAATAATCCACAAACACAATGGAAACATATCAACAAGAAAATCACCAATTTACCCCCCTAAAATTGCAAGGGTTAAGAGTATTTACGTCCTGAAATTTGCAAAATGGAATAAAAGACCGTGATTTTGACTTATGTCTATCAACTTGATTAACTGGTATACCAACTTACAAATCTGATAAGTCTGAATTATATCACCTACTAGAAAATTAATCCTTAATTTATATCACTTATAAGCAAATTACCCCTTAAATTATATTATCACTAACAGTTAACGTAGTCCTTATAAGTTATAAGGAGAACCAATTTGGACAACGGGACCATATTTCCCGACAACATTCAAAATCAGGGTTTTTTTCCCTATTAGCAAATTTTAGCGGTATAAACGTCTGAGCCCACAATTTCAAGCAGCAAATTAGTGATCTACTCATCTATCAATACTGTTTAGAAAAAAACATTCCTGGACAAATTCACACCCAGGCCGGTCCCAGAACCTTATGATGGACGGAACATGGATTGAAATCAAATTACTCAAAATCAAATTCAATATTCCATAGAAACAAATTACCCCAAAGTTCATCAACAATTTACAATACCTTACAAGTACTAAACAATTTATTTACCATGTTACAAACCCATGCCAAAAAATTGATGCACAAAAAAATCCACAACTAGAAAAAACATATTCGAAAGGTAACATCTTTATCGTCAAAGGTATATCGAGTAACCGACTAGATCTGAACCACAACACTTACTTATCAGAAAAGTAGAGACAAAACTTCAAGATTCAAGAATTAACAAATCCCTAAATACCAACAAGAGACACGATTTCAATCAACAAGATCTGATCGAAAACAAACAAAAACCCCTAAAAATTAGACAAATTGAATTCAAATTTAACCTATTTTTATCGCGGCGAAACCTTAACCAAACCCTAAAATTAAAAAACGAAAAATTAGATCTTAATAAAAGGAACCTGAATTTACCTGATCCTAGTTTAGGGTTTCGATGCGTAAAGATCTGGGCGATTAGCGAAGAATAGAAACCCTAAAATTGGATAAGGAAGGACCTTCTCTCGCTGAGATTTGCTTTGTTTGGGAGGAGAGAAAGTGGTGCGAGATGAATCTTTGAGAGAAGAAAATATAGACACAAATGTCAGGGGTAAATTCGGTGAGGTTTGTTTCTACTCTCGAAAAAGGGTATGGATATTCACGCGCTACATTTTGTGCGCGGGGCTCAGGAAATTTTTGGCAAAATATCGGCGAGTGGAGTTTAGTTGTTTGGTTATGAGAGTGGGAATGACATTTTTTAATAAGGATAGAACTGTCAATACAATATATAAAGTAAGTAAAGTAGAGTAGAGAAGCTTGAAAACAACGCTTGGACTTGTTTGCCAAATTTAAAATAGTTTATATATTTCTAATTATTTTTTTAATGAAATTTAAATGAATCTCACAACTTAAAATGTATTAAGACTTAGATTCACATAAATTTTATCTTAGAAAAAAAATTTAATAAAGAGTTTAATCTTTAAAAATATATTTATATTTTGGATTTTTATATAGCAAGTAGATCTTTGTTGAGCTAAAACTAAATAATTTCGTCTTTCAATGTATCAAATATCGTTCGTCGTATCACGTGTGAGTGATTTTAACCGTCATTGATATATAAGGGTAAAGTGTGTCATTTGTATTCAAATTCCTTAACATTCTCACTTATTTTTCATTCTCTCATTAACTTTGGTAGATTATCTCACTTTCCACTACATCGGAAGCTTGATCCATCGATGAAAGACCTGATATCATCATTCCACTACACATTTTTGGTTTCCTAGTACTAGAATGGTGGTGGTGGTTGTGGGAATCGACTTCTGACTCCTACTAATTTCCACGAAAAACCATTGTTTCTCCAATAAAGATCCATATCATTTAACCTTCTCCTCAAGAACATCAATCTCATATTCATCAAGCTTGATGACATCCAAAGTCACTTGATTTGTCGTCCAACGACAAGTTGTGTCTATAGTCGCTTAAGCTGCCAAAGTTCAGCCATTTTCTTTTCTTTGTTCGGTGGAAGACGATCCAGCTATGTTGGTATCTCCATATGACCCTACACATCAAGATTTCGCTCCACGACTATTTGGGCAAAAAGGATTCCAGCCCCTCTTATTCTTAATATCCATGCAATTAGTGTTGTTCAAAAAAACCATAGAAACTGGAGTTAAAATAACTAAATCGTTATTAATGGTTAGTGATCCAAACTTAAAATTTGGCAATGGTTCTAGAACCGAACTGTTAAATTATTAATCAATCTCAAAGTAGTTTTGAACTAAACCGTTGGTACATTAGTAAATTAAAAAAAAAAGTCTATTTTTTCTGAAAATTAAAAAAAAAAGTCAATATTTTTCGAAAAAAATAATATATATATATTTTTTCGAAAATAAAAAAGTCAATTTTTTTCTGGAAAAAAAAGTCAATTTTTTCCGAAAAAAAAGTCATTTTTTCCAAAAATAAAAAAATCAATTTTTTTCGAAAATTAAAAAGTCTGTTCTTTCCGAAAATAAAATAAAAAGTCAATTTTTTTCAAAAAAAAAAGTCAGTTTTTTTTAATAAAAAAAAGTCGATTTTTTCGAAAATAATAAAAAAATTGATTTTTTTTTAAAATCAATTTTCCCATAATTGAAAAGTCGGTTTTTTTCAAAAATAAAAAAGTGAGCTTTTTCCGAAAATAAAATAAATCAATTTTTTTCGAAAATTAAAAAAGTCAATTTTTTTTTATAAAAAGTTGATTTTTTCCAAAAATCAAATAAAATAAAATAATTTCAAAAATAAAAATTTTGATTTTTGGTGAAAATAAAAAATAAAGTCAAATTTTCCGTAAAAAAATGATTTCTCTCGAAAAATAAAAAAGTTGTTTTTTGACGAAAATTAAAAAGTTGTTTTTTTTCGAAAATAATAAAATCGATTATTTTCGAAAAATAAAGATGTCGATTTTTGGCTGAAATAAAAAGAAGTCAGTTTTTTTGAAAAAAAAAAATAGATTTAACAAAATCAAGTATAACCCTTCGATTATTTAACAAATGGTTCGATTTTGAAAAAATTGTCTTATAATAGTTTGGTACAGTTCAGAATTCTGAACCGTTGTACCATACCAAAACTTTTGGTTCAGTTCGGTTCTAAAAAAAATAAAATGGTTTGGTGCGGTTCAGATGACCTTATATAATGTTTCAATTCGGTTCAGTTCAATTTTCTAAGAGAACCGTACCATGAACAACCCTACACGCAATAGTCTCACTAAGGGGAACCATCGCACCGTGTTGGCTCCTAAATTCGACACCCTTGTTTGTTATTAATATAGACCATTAATTATGAGAAATGGTTTCGACCAGCTGATCCTGTCGAAATGCTCATCAGAAAGTGGCAAGGTACTTAGAGAATTTCTTTTAAGTAGGAATCTTGTTGCCTTCGACGTCGAAGGAACTTCTCGACAAAGGTATTTGATGCCCCAGGGTGGAACGGTTTGAGATTCGAATGTTTGGAGGGAAAACGGTTCCCAGCAGTTACCAAGTGCAACGTGCCAAGATCAGGAGCGTCGAATGCTGTGAGCATGCCAAGTGGTGTCATCTCGAAGCAACGTAACTGCCTAACGGTTACTTGAGATGTGTTTAGTATAAATACTAGTTGTTAACGTAGTTTTCGCATGTGTTCATCATTATATACAAGTCACTCATCTAGATTCAAGTACCCAGTATGAGCGAAAGAATTGTTGAGAATGTATGTGTGAAACACCATTTAAATTAATCAAAGTCTTTTATATTCCAGCACTTTATTGTCTTTCATTTACCCTTCTCCGTCGAAGCCTTTATTTAACGCTTTCATTTATTCTATCAAGCTTTTCTTCATGCAATTTACATAAAGTGTCTTTACTTTACTGGCATTAACCATCATTAGACTTAGTCAAACCCCAAAAAATCAACCATGTCTTAGGATCAATCTGATTGATCCTGCGAGTCACCAAATAAGTAACCTTTTGGAGGATCAGCGGTTGTTTACCAATTTCCACGGTAAACAAATTGGCACACCTGGTGGGACCTTGTGTTGATTTTTAAGGTTAACCGTATTTATATAGAATATCATCTTGTTCGAGAAGTATTGCATGTTATTGGAAGTGGTAGAATATACACTAACGATACCAATACTACGAGAAGAAGAGAAGCGATGGCGAATCCGCCAAACAATAGCGAAATCCCACAAACAAATGTGGGAACAACGGTTATCCCAACCGTAAGTGAAACGCTAACCGCTGGTTCAACACCAGCAGTAACGGTCACACAAACGGGGTCATTACCTCCGTTCACTGGCCCCAGAATGCCTTTGGGAACTCCCCCACCAAGGGGAAACCCAGGAACTAGGCCTTATGTTCCCCTAGGATTTTCGACAGGCGGTCTAAATCGAGAACCACTCTATGGCATGCCAACTTCTGAATTGGCTAGCCTGACGAACGTTGCGTCCACTTTCTCAGACCCCTTAGTGAGCGCCTCTTCGCCACTCCAAGGTTCCGGAGTTGGTATGGCGAACAGGGGTAGGACCCAACTCTTAGGAGGAACGTCCCAAGTAGCGCATGGCCTTACGAATGCCTCGACATCAGTCTTGAGGCAGCAAATGGACGAAAGCAACCACGATATGGTTCAAATGTTGGCACAAACTTTAAGTACAATGTTGAATCCTCTAATACAAAATACCACCCAGTCGAATCAGCAGATGACAGCGCAAATGGCGCGTCTGGCCGATTTCTTTGGGGTACCCCAACCTATTCGACAGCCCCAAAGGGCGCAAATAAGGGGAAACCAAGGTATACTTCTAGAGGAAGAAACCACTATTAACCAAGTCCAGCAGCCTGTCGAAGAAAACCTTAGGACGCGATTGGAACAACCCGGGGTCGAAGAACCTAGGGTTATAGCCCCGGAAGTAAGGATAGTCAACAGAAACTAAAACGCTGACGAAATAGTTCAGCATATCCAATACCAGAATATGGGTTTGGAAAATAACCTGACAGCCATGATCGAAAGAATCATGAAGTAAAATGGGTTGAATACGGGCTTCCGTAAGCCCAACTTTACATCCCCACTGTCAGAATATGTATTACAAACAGACTTACCTCCTAGATGTAAAGTCCCTAAGTTCACTAAATTTTCAGGGGACACGACAGAATCTACTGTCGAACATGTGGCGAGATACTTGATTGAAGCAGGAGATATTTCAAACAACGAAAACCTGAGGATTAAGTATTTCCCAAGTTCCCTAACAAAGAACGCGTTTACTTGGTTCACAACTCTTCCCCCCAATTCGATCCACCATTGGACCCAATTGGAGAGATTGTTCCATGAGCAATTCTACATGGGACAAACCAAGATAAGCCTGAAAGAATTGGCCAGTGTAAAGAGGTGATTCACTGAACCTATAGACGAATATCTAAATATGTTTAGGTTGCTCAAAGCAAGATGCTTTACGCAAGTGCCAGAACATGAGTTAGTCGAAATAGCCGCATGAGGCTTAGATTATTCCATTAGGAAGAAATTAGACACTCAATACCTGAGAGACATGGCCCAATTGGCCGATAGGGTTCGACAGGTAGAATGCCTTAAAGCTGAAAAAGCCAAGGCGACAAAAACTCATAAAAGAGAAAGGATAGCATATGTCGAAATGGATGATGAAGATCCAGAAACCTTCGACGAAACTATAACCGTCGAAGAAAGCGAGGTCGATTTAGCGGAGCTAAAACAAGGGCTACCATACTTTTGCAAACTGCTAGTCCCCTCAAGTGGGAAAAACCCCACTGGTCCTGAAAGGGCCAACGATAGGTTCCCCAAAAAGACTTACAGTTTTGATATTATAAAATGTGATGAAATTTTTGACTTACTTGTAAAAGATGGCCAAATGATAGTGCCCCCAGGGGTAAAAGTGCCTCCTCTTGATCAAAGAAAGAAAAGAGGCTTTTGTAAATATCATAATTTTCTGGGCCATAAAACATCTCAATGTTTTCTTTTCAGGAATCTCGTGCAAGATGCTATCGAAGAAGGGAGGCTGAAATTCGCCGATAAGTCCCCCATGACTGTGGACTCTAACCCTTTGCAGGCTGAAGCCCATTATGCTGAACCTTCAGAGGTGAATGTGATCGAGGCATCCAGAAGCCAGGTGAAAAGGCCAGGAATAACTATGGTCGAAGTCACCAAGGATCATGTCAACATGCCAATCTTTGGCAGTTTTTCTGGGAGCCTTTCTAGAAAAACAATTGAAGCAGTCCAAAAAGCTGTTGAAAGCCCAAAACTAGAGACAGTTGGAGCCCCAAAATCTGGAGCAAAACCCAGTTCCTACTTGGTTGCAGTCCAAGGCCAGACAGAGGACCT